CTAGCATCATCTCTTCGTGGTTTGAAAGACGATCCTTTGAGTGTTGATTAGCTATATTTGAACCAATCCAAAAGCCGATGAGCCAGGCACATAGTTCAATGACAGCAGGAAAAGTCTGTATATTGATAAAACGTTTAACAATTTTGGCGAAAGCACCCTCTTGGCTTGGGAATCGAACTTTTTCGGGAGTAAACATTTTGGCATGAGACTGCACTTCAGAATCACTATTTAAAAATTGAGTGACAGTTGGTTGCCATACGAAGCCCGGTCGCACAATAGAATTGATGGAGCTTGAGCTATCCAAATTGTAAATTTTATTTTTATCAACTAATTCAAAATCCCGAATGACAGCTCGTTTAGCATTATTCATTGTAGAGTATTCCGCACTTGGATACGGATAGAGTTTGACTGTTTTTTGTATCAAATTTGTGGTGCGATCATGTATAAAGTAAACAAGCTTAAATAACGTCTTCCCATCCTCGTTACAATGATGTTGTAAGGAAGGCCCTAACATCATCTTAAGAACAAGGATGTGCGCATCATTACATATAAAAGGTTGAGCAAATGGATAGTTTCTAGGTATTATTTTGTACAAAATTCCTTCACCACTAGTGACACCACTAACATTGCGAGGTGTACTATCATCACCCATCACCTGATCACCTTCTTTAATCGTTTCAACAGGTTTGATGTGTCCATCATACATCAAAATAGGGGTACCCTTCCCGAAACACTTTCCTGCAAATTAAATGATTGTTGAAAACAATGAATATAATATCCAATATGAGGACACGAAACACTTGTTCATCCAATATATCATCACGAAAGTGTCGTAATGCTGAAATTCATTTATTTTAGTGATAAAAATTATCCTACGTAGTTAAGATCAACAAATAGAAGAGCATAAATTTTTATGTATAATAAAAAAATATGTTAAAATATTGTACATATCTGTATCGACATGCCCTAATATACAACATATTGGTGATCTCAAATCGTCTTTAGATCGAGCGGCAAGTGCTTCCTCATGTCGTTTCTGAAAAAGAAAAAAAAGGTATGTCAAAAAATACATATATATGAAGTCATCAATAAATCAAATTTACCTTACGACGCTCAGCAGCATCAGCCTTCTGTTTCATAGCTTGTTTTTGATGCTCCGTAATTTTTTCATTGTCACTTCCTTCATCTCTATCCTCACTACTATCATCTGTTTCAGATTCTTCTGACTCATTAACTGATTCGGATGTTTTAGTCGTCTCTTTAACCGATACATTTTTTTGTGTTATACCAGTATCAACAACCTTTTCTGGTTTCTGATTTTTGTCCGTACCAACTTTTATAGGGGTCGCTGATGAGGTCTCTGGTAGGGTTTCGGCTGAAATGACTATATGTAACGTGAAATATATATTTAACACATGTACAATTCAAGTGATTTCCTATAATATATTAAAGAATATAACCATTTTTTGATGTCTCCTTTTCATCTGATGTTGAATCCGATTGTTCATTGATATCCTCCATTTCATCCGATGTCACGTCCCATTGATCTTTGACACCGTCTGTTATTTCGGTATGTTTACTGTTTCCTAATTCCTCATCCTCTTCCCAACTATCTTTTACATTTTTATTAGTTTCAATTTCCTTTTCAGCTTCTAAATTTTCTGAAATTTCTGGCGTATTATCCACTTTTACTGCTACAACTTCTGCCTCAGTTTTATCCGAAGTTTGTTTTGGTGGGCCCTTTTTCTTTTTACTAGCATAGACAACTTTTTTTGGTTTTTGTTCACCATTGTCAAACCCCTCAATTTTATAGCCGGATTCTATCATCTGCTGTAACCGCAATTGGTCTTGCTGTTTCTTAGCCTTTTGACTTTTGCTTAATAATTTACCCTCCTGTCTAAGACGTTCTTTCTTTTCCTGATATATTGTAGTACTTATAATGAGGTTTCCAATTTTATATTTACACGACCAAAATAAATTTTAGATTTCGCACCTTTTCCTTCTCTTTTCTTCTTTGTTTGGCTAATTCCTTCTGTTTTTCTTCTTCCTCTATGCGTTTACGTTCCTCTACAATAAAAATGTTAGAATGTAATATTGAACGCAACAACCACTAACTATGCGTTATATAATGACAATTACCTTCAATTCGCCTTTGTTCTTCCTGTTCTTGCCGTATTCTTTCTTCTTCAGCGGCACTGAATTAAGTAAAAATATCTGTGATACTCTGTGTGATTACATTATAATATTATTACCAATTAAACCAACCGTGCTGCTTCCAGTTGTGCACGAATAACTGCAATAGGTGGTTTCTTTTTTGATGGTGCTTTTTTTTCTTCCTCTACAGTTGATTTCTTTTTTTTTTTCTTTTTTTTCTTTTTTTCATCATCTTCCTCCTCCTCTTCATGCGCAGCTTCTGGTGATATCTCTGATGTTGGTGGTTTGGGTTCTTCTGCAGGTACAGCTATATCTTCTATAGTGTCTTCCTCTTCATTTTTTTTTGTACCTACTTGTACTTTTTTCTTTTTGGCATCAGCCTTCTTCTTTTCCTTTTCCTTCTGCTTTTTTAGCTTTTCTTTTTCTTTTTTACTTAAGATCCGAAACTCGTTATTCTCTTCAACAGGTTTTTCGGCTTTAATTTCTGATCCTTTGTTCTTTTTATTTTTGCCAAATTCTTCTTCGATCCAATCATCAGGTTGCAATGTTTGCAATTCTGTTTGCTCTGCTTCCTCGCTCATAGTTGTTAACAGCGTTTTTAGCTTAAGAATAAAGTATCCGCAATTTTTATACTTTACTTTCCGGTACTTAATCTGGGTCAGTTGATCCCCAATTAGGGATGGGCAAATCGCGAATTTTTAGAATTTTTTGCGCAGGCTGCGCAGCCTACGCATATCATCAAAAAAATTTTCAGCTGCCGCTTCACTGCAGATTCTCGATTTTGATTGGATAAAGGCTATGATCGACAAAATTTTGGCTCACGTTACATAAATTAT